GTTTGATGCAATTAGTTACACAAGAATGCACTCAAGTCAAGTTGCATATGCACCACTTTGAAGTATACATCTTCTCCCCCTTTTGTCAAAATCAAAAAGGGCATTTTGAAAATTTTAACCATGTATAACTTCTTGAAACCCTCCCCCTATCAAAATGAATTTTTAGGAAAAATGATAGTTTTGAGATCATTGGGCAAAAGGTGCATTTACAACGAAACTCCCTCTAAAAATGAAAACTCCCCCTAAAATGATGCAAGTTTAAAAACTTTATTTTTCAGGGATTTTTAGGGATTATTTTCTAAAATGCATGATTTAAAGATTAAAAAAATTTAATCATGCAAACCAAGGCTAAAGCAAATAAAAACATGTATGAGATAAGGTTTTATTTTTGAAAATAATTAAAACAAAACAAAATATCTTATCTCAATAAGTGAGAAGAATTTACCTTGGCTTATGCCGCTCTTTTTTCGGCTTTGAATATACTTCTTTCCTCTTCACATACTTCTTCCATTTGAGGAAATCCGTATATTTCATTCTCATCTCCTTCTCTTCGTCTTCTTCATCATCCGACTCTTCCGTAGAGCTTGAGTCGCTTGAATCATCACTTGATTCACTTGACTCTTCACTAGACGAATCTTTTGAAGCTTTGAAGGCGTTGGTAAGCTTGGGATTTTCACGCATTTCTTCCTCTTTGATCTTTCTCAACAAAAGCTCGTGAGAATACAAGGAAGACCAAATGTGGGCGGTGCTTTCCGTTGCACATTTGGGTAAAAGATCTACAATACTACTATGCCATTCTTTTGATAAAGAAAGTAATATTTTAGTATTTAGTTCACTTGTAGAATATTCCTTACCCAACTTACCCAACTTGTTGATTATTTCATTGAACCTTCTATTGGCATCTTGGATTGACTCGTGTTGGCCAATTTTGAAACTTTCGTACTCCGAGTTTCCGAGGGCCAACATGGTTTGCTTCGTGGAGGTGTCGCCTTCATGTTTGGCTTGAAGCAAATCCCATACCTCCTTGGCCGTTTTGCACGAGCACCCACGTGCAAACTCATCGGGTCCAAGGGAGCAATGAAGGATGTTTATCGCCTTCGCGTTCATGGACAATTTTCTCTTGTCCTTCGAGGATAGCCCTGCAAAATCACCGTTTCTCGGCACAAATGGCCCGTGAAGTACATTCAACCATAAATCAAAATCAATGGATTGAATAAAGTATTCCATCCGCATTTTCCAATAAGAATAGTTTTGACCGTTGAAAAATGGAGGGCGGTGAATGCTTTGAGAATCCATTTGGGCCATATTTCAAAAATTTGAATTTTAAAAAATTTGAAGAAAAATTTGAGATTTTAAAAATTCAAATTAAAAAGGGACACAACAAGTGGATCTTTGTCGTAGATGCGGTTAAGCACTTTCAACTACGAAACCGCTCCGATACCAATTGTTAGTCGGTTTATTCGTTGTGCCCACGCCTTAGAGGGGGGGTGAATAAGGCGTTTAAAAATCTTTTCGGAGTTTGATAAAATCGGTATTGGCAAATGCGGGAGCAATAAGTAAAACGCAAAAATAAAAGCGTAAAATAAATGCACACCGATTTTATACTGGTTCGGGAACTCCCTACTCCAGTACCTTAAGGCTCCTCCTTAAGGATTTCCAAATCCACTAAGTCTCGGTCTCTTGAACTTTGTCAAAGCACCGCACTAGTTTGGCAAACAACCCTTGCCAATAGGATTGACTCCGAGATTTCACCACGGCTATCTCGAACCGTTTACAATGAAGATTTAACGGCTATCTTCTACCGCTCCCCCAAGGATTTCAAAGGCTATCCTTGAACCTTTACCCAAGGATTTATACGGCTATCCTTGACCGTTACAATGTGAGAATTTAACGGCTATTCTCGACCGTAAGAAGGTGTGTTTGAAGAACACTAAATAGGATTCTACACAACGGCTAGAATATAAAAATGAAGAACAAAACTTAGCCGGTGTAGGAGGAAAGTATACTCTCTCAAAAATACAATTCAAACTTATGAATATGAGAGTATATAACTAGAAACACAAGCTCAAAGTGTGTGTATAAAAATCAGGAGTTTAAGGCTCTTGAAATAGCCAAAATATTGGAAATAATTAATAAAAGAATGAACACATTTAAAATATAAAGAGAGGATGTTTAGAGCTTTGTTTCTTAAAGAAATATGAAGGATTAGGCTTGTATTTATAGTGGAAGATGTTAATTAGCCGTTGGGAGGTGATTATGGTTGATTTAATTCAAATTTCGCAATCAGGAACAGTGCTGCCAACGGCTCCGGTAGGCAAGTGCCGTCCACACGGTATCATGGTACCGTGCGTACGGTAGGGGGTACCGTGAAGGGCGGTACCTCGGTACCGTGTAGCACAAAAACTTCATCCGGTTCTGGCGGCACCTAGTTAGGACGGGTGTGTCCATCCGTTCCGGCCTACCGTACGGTACCTGGGTACCGTCTCATGGTATAGGGGTACCGTGTGGCGGTATACCCTACCGTCTGGGGGTACCGTGCCACTGTCCTGATTTTTCCAAAATTCCCGTAATCCTTCGTGTTTGAGTTTAAAACCTTTTGGATATTTGAAAATGTTTATGGGATGGTTTTAAACATATTTTGTGAGTGTGTTTGAGCTTGTGAATATAGGTATATAAAGTCATATTCTTACATCGGTTTCTACCTATATTTTACGCTAGTTTGGTGTTTCGACTTCATTCTTGAGTACCGAATCTTAATGGATTCTTGTTGTACCTGAAACACTTAAATAAACGTCAAGCTCTTATATTGTTTGTTAACATCAAAACATGAGGCTTAGCAAACCAAGGCTAACATTTATGGTATTAAATATTGTCATATGTGACATTACATAGTGCCATGTTTGACATTATTATGTCTTTCTTTGACACTGTATTGACTGTTAATGTAACACTGTGGCGACGATGGTGCAAATTGTGATGGTATTATTGTTGATAATGGTTCAGAGCAGTGATCTCATCGGTGGTGCAAAATTTCGAAAATAAATATTATCATGGGAATGTGGTGACTCTAATTAGTCTCATCTCTCCCTGCTTCCTCTCCCCACAACCACCCCACCATGCTGTTTTTTCTTTCACTTTTTGTCTAATTTGAACATTAAAAAAAGGAACCCCTTTGATTATTTAATTAAGAAATATTTTAGGAATATATTGTGTGTTAGCACTGCGGGGTATGCATATTCATTATTCACTCATTAATAATGAACACAATAGTAAATGAGAATGATGTGCGCAAGGGGATTTTCTTTTGTGTTCATTATCACAATATGTTGAACAAAAAATTACGGACGTGAAAATGATGTGCGCTAAGGGCCGGCCATTAACTTATATTTTGAATATCTAATCTTTCAACTCCTATTTTGGAGATTTTATCTTTCAACTCCTATTTTGAAGTTTAATCAATGTTTTACTCCTATTTTGGTCTTTAACTCTAATGAAAACTGTTACAAAATCTGAAAAATTACATAATTTAATACGATTTCCCAAAAAGGGAATTCTATACAATAATGACAAAAGGCGATATGAGGTGATAAAAATTTTGGAACACTACTTTATAAACTATATCTGTACATAATGATACATTGCTAATATTTATCGTTCTAAATTTAGGATTTCATAACAATAAACTAACATTCGACTTTGGGCATATTTAAAGGGAGGGTAAAAATTATGTTGACTTTTCAAAAATGCCTTACTTTTTATGGGGGTAGCGATGAATAAGAAGA